AAACGGGTAGGGCAAGATTCGCCGTGTACAACAGGCGACGACGTGGTGCTCATCGCATGTCGTGATGGAGAAGGTTGCCGCAAAGTCCAGACTGGTCAGCCGCTGGAACATCGCCTCTAATGTCGGGATCGGAGACGCTGCTTCATTTCTTGTTGCTTCCACTTGTCGTCTATGATATGAATGTGATTATGATTAGATCTACAAAAAAAAGAACACGAATAATACATACATGCGCGCGCAATTGAATATTGCCTTGCCTCATTGATCACGGTGTCTCTCCGGTGTCGAAAACATTTCAAATATACGAATACCGTGAAAAAGAAAATAACTTTCTTAATAATAACTGAATTTGGGATGTAAGAGAAAGGTACAACCTCATGAGGTTGATTAGTTTGGTTCAGCAATGCGTAAAAATAAAATAAGAACCCATTCATATTAACTGTGCGCTCACTCCCCAGAAAAAACTGCTTAAAGCTTTGACGCTGCAGGCTGAAGTCCAGGCCCAACGTGAATTATTTCAATGTTTTTTTTTTCACTATAAATGTCTTCTTTAATCATCTCCAACGAAAGGTTGTTCAATAGCTAATGAACGAACGTCTCCGCTGTTAATTCATTCAGTTTTTTATATAATATCTAGCGGAGACCAAAATATTCTGAGCCAAATTTCAATGAGGAAACTCGGATTATCCTGTCCATTTAAACCCTCTCAGCTGATGTTGTTCATCTCGCACCATAACATTTGTTGTGTTTCCACCGAGCTGCATTTAATTTGTAGGCTAAGATCAGCATTGCTGATAGCAGACCGTACTGCACGATGTCATCAGACCCTCCAGCAGCATGAGACCCTCCAGCAGCATGCGACCCTCCAGCAGCATGCGACCCTCCAGCAGCATGAGGCCCTCCAGCAGCATGCGACCCTCCAGTAGCATGAGACCCTCCAGCAGCATGAGACCCTCCAGCAGCATGAGGCCCTCCAGCAGCATGCGATCCTCCAGCAGCATGAGATCCTATAGCAACTCTTGGCCTAACAACCAGCAGGTTGGAAGGTTTAGGCTGGATTAGGCCAGCATATGGAATGATATTGTAATGTAAAGATCACATACAACATTATAGTTTTTTATTCAGCTCGCTATAAATGTTCACGGGTAGAGTCAAGCGAGAACGGCCTGCTGATGACCCGTGAACTGCAGGACAATGCGCTAGTTCATTTTTGAATTCATTGCGTCAAATCGAAGAAATTCTGTTCACGGACGCTAGAGACTTGAAATTGAAGCCTTACAAGAATATAGCAATGTAAGTTTCCTGTTTTAACTTGCTAAACGTAATGACCAGATCGTAGAAACCGTCGAAAACGATTGGTGTAGCTCTGAACAAGTTTTTAATCATCTTTTGTGAAACACTGTTAAATTGCTGGGCTGAAAGACAGACGGATTTTATGCAAATTTTATTCATAATGGATTGACTAGATGATTTGACTTTAATACAATCTTTGATGGTTTTAACCTGTGATTATTTCCGATTATTGATGGTTTTGATGGTTTTGATTGTTTTGATGGTTTTGATGTGTTTAACCTGTGATTATCCGATTATTTTAATGATAACAAATTTATTATGGAAGGTTTTAATACGAAATAAGATGCCACTTAAATACGTTAATTTCAATAAATAAATGAATCTGCGTGGACGAAGCATCACTCAACTCGCAAATATTAATATCGAATTGATGACAAATTGCTCAAATCGGAATTAAGAAACAGGGTTTTAAACAAATTATACAGATCAAAATTTCAATGTGTTGAATCTCAGTGAAATAATTTATTATGTCCAATAATATCATAATATGCGCTGGACTCGGTTATACCGCACGACGCATAATTAATTACGATGGTCCTTTACTCAAAAAACTAAAAGAGTTGTTATGGACTCTGGAGGAATCTACCCATCATGCACTGAGCAAGTTAATTGCCATTAAAAAAAAGATTTAATAGGATTTTCAGTAAAGACATTACTTTCAGATGCACGTTGTACAATTTGTTCTCAATTGATCGGATCCACACATATGTAACTAAAATTAGGTATTAGTCATTTACAGAGCTGGGCAGCGCTACTTTGAAATGTAGCGGCCGCTACCGCTACAAACCGTACCTGCAACGTCACCAATACCTGTCGTGGCTCCAAGAATTGCACCGATTGCCAAGTTTATGTTCGCACAGACAACATCGGACACTGAACAGTAATTAACTGTCACGTGCCTGACGCGTGCCCGGCAGTATATGGTGTTTACTCGGCCTTAAACAACGGTTATACACTGACTTGATGGTTGACGCCTTGCGTTTTATCTAAGAATAAATACTCATTTCGAAAAATCAGCTTAGAATATAAACAATTTTTATTTCCTTGAATTGAACTGAACGTAACACAAACCCAAGCAATTAAAAGAGTATGTATTATCCTCAAAAACAGACTACACCGAATTTATTGTCCGTCATTTCTTGCAACTAAATTCCTGCGAAATTTGGCGAAGGAAATACATAAAATCCATGAAGCTGGGGTGAAAGTAGGTGCAGACATTGGTTTTTAATGAGGATCTTACAAATAGATTTGCGTCGTTCATGAGATACTTTTTAATTTTTTTTTTAATTTATACTATACGTTTTTAATTTATATGAGATACTAATTAAAGTCGTGGCAAAGTACAGCAACGCTTATATAGTCACGACCACAGATAAGTAAATCGATATTTAAACGTAAACCTTGACAATAGCTACTCGATTACTGTACGTGCAAATCTCCATGTAAAATTTGTACGCTAAATCAATGCTTGAAAAATTCGATCTGATAAGAAATTCATTGGTTTTCCATTAATTATGTCGTTGGAATTTTTTTCATAAAGAATTAAGGTATTACCCAACAGGAAAATGAGGCGGACATAACGTCGATTACGACCTGCTTTTGCCAGAATGGTTTTCAAGTTCCAGAATGAAACACAACGTTTTTTTGTTAGTTGCCCTCTTCTTTTTCTTTTACTATCAGAACAGGAATTTTAGGATCTGTCATCCCTTTTCATGGAAATAAACTCGAATTCGAATTTTCAACAAAAAATACTAAACATACCAACCCAGTAATCAATAATACAGCCAATAAAGTAATATATCTGAAAAACCCGAATTATGACACATGCATGTACGAGATACATATTCGATCGTCGGATCAGAGAAAGGGAGCACCTGCAGTTTAGCTAAAATTGCAAATTATTGATAAACAATAATTCAAAAATTAAAATATAAATTATAATATATTAACTATATACGTATTCGATCTCATGCTTCGAATCAAACGTAGAACTCTCATGATTTCGAAACAAATCTCAACTTTGGCAATTGATCCTTTGATTGGACTCTGACGTAGCAAACTAAAATAATAGTCCAAAACATACACTATACTGATTTCACACCTGATGCAGCTCCTCAGAATTTGACTATCAGAAATTTCGTTTTTGAGTTGTATAGAAAGATCTGTGCAAATTTTCCGCGAATATTTTTCCGATAAATAAAATTTGATCTGTCTTTTGCCTAAAAAAACAATCACTGAAAATGTGCGTCAGACAGTAAATAAGAAAATTTAATGGTTTACTGAAGTTACATCGATTATCGTATTACCTAAAACCATAAGAATACACCTAGTAGACGAAAATTTTCGCCTTGGCTGCGAATTTTTGAAGAACAGTTCGGTAGCTGCTTATTTTCCTACTGAATTATCGGAAAGCTTATATAAAGAAGCAGGTGTTGAAATAATCATTTTTGTTCATTCATATGAAATTCGGTTTGTTTAAAATTTATATTTGGCGTTTAATACTAGTCTCCGTTATTTGAAAAAAAATATAACTCAGTACTCACTGCAATGAGTAACAGAGAGCGCATTTTCTCGTCGACGAAAACGTGAAGTCACGAACGGACAGACGGACATGGCGAGCACAATAGTGCATTTTTCCATATTGGCCTGCGATAACGCGAGATTATTGCGATCAATGAATGAGTCAAGCGAGTTTACCATTAGATACAAATCAAAATATGAAAACACCGTAGCCGAGACGGTATGGGTGACTTGTGTCAAGTGAGATTCCGCCTCAGCACATCACTCCTCCCGCTCAGCGTGATCTATCAAAACATCACTCATCCACTCTTTCAACGATTATCACTGGGACGTATTATCCATTGTATTTATTTGCCTTATAGATATTCAAGCAATTTCCTGCTCAAAATTTTGCAATGATTATGAATGTTTGTTGCCCAAAATTTCGTTCAATGACTCAATGAAATTAAAAAAATAATAAATCATTTTGATTACGTTCATTCAACTTGCAAGAAACACGGTGGCCGGGAATGAGGCAGCAGAGTGCGTGAATCGCACCATATATAAATATATATAAAGTGAATATATAAATATTATATATATAAAGTTTTAATATATAAAGTTTATAACAATTGCGACTGTGGAGAACCGCGAATTATGAAGACAGTTGACCGTCAAAATAGTTTCCAAGATCAATCGCGCTGGACGTTGATTTATTGGTGTGGTTAATGAATGCTGGAACGCTACTACTACGCTCGGGGTCTGATTGATATGAAATTATTTCATCTGTTGGCTGATGATGCAAATTTCATCTGTTGGCTGATGATGCAAGGCCATTCCATTCCAGTATCTTTACTTGAAGATAGTCGGTTCACAAACAAAGGATTTTGTCTCTTAACCTTCAGTAATTTGAGGGGGATAACGTGATGGACCAGAATTATTGGAAGCTACGTCATTGTCGGTAGAGTTATCCTGTTAGTTCATGCCCGGACTTTGTTGGTCTCTGAGAGGCACCAACCGTTAATTATTGCACTTACACGATCGCTTCACTGTTCCAGGGAAGCACTTACACATTTTAGATGAAGGACATATACGATTTTCTGATCAGCTTAGATAATGTATGTGTTAAGGAGTAATGAATTTTTGAGTTTTCGCATGAATGCTTATATATTTAGTCTGCTTACGAAAATCATATAAATTTTCATTAAATAGCAATTGAAACTCGAATGCTTACAGCACATCGTGTCCCTAAGAAAATAAATATAAAATTTCATTTAATTTATCCCCGACAAGCAGGTCTTATATATACGACGAAGGTAAGAGAATTTCCAATGTACCGTCCACATACGAATAATCTGTCAATACACGATCAAGCAAACGTATAGTATCTAGTAAGAATTCATATCATTAGTATTCCGGAGTTCAAGTTAGAAAAATATTGTGCATAAATTATACATGAATTATTACAATTGAACGTGATTGACTTCATGGTCAATCTTTTGCATTTATCCTTTGATTATTATTTTTTTTAAGACAGAGCACACGACATTTGAAATCGTTCAAACACACGGTGGAAAGAATTACTTTCATCAGAGATGACGTAGAGTCTTGTTAGAAATGTTCATGGTCAGGTTATAGCCGGAATATCCAAGTATAGATCAGCTCATCAATATATATTATAAGTGAAATGTTACTTTCCGAGTGGTATGCCCAAGAAAACTTTCGGAGTGCAGCCTCCTCCGGTGAGCGCAGTGTAGAGATTAGCGGTGTAAAGTGCAGCATTGACTTGGTCGTTAATAATGATAGCTTGAATTAGTTGGACTAGAGCCCCACCTGCAGCCGTGCCAACACCTGTCGTGGCTCCCAGGAGAGCACCAATCGCCAAGTTTAAATTCGCAGTGACATCGGCGGTGTTGTTGTTTCGTAGGCCTTGAATCACAGCATAAATAGCAAGACTGCCTTCGTTACTGATGCTAGCGGCTTCTCCAGCAGCAATGACCAAAGTCTTGATTAGCTGATCAGTCGAAACGTTGCCAATGGTTCCGTTGATGATGGAAACGACGAGTTCGGCAATGGCTTTTGCGCTGGCATCGCTGATGGGCGTTAGGCCGGTCAGGATGCCGGACACTGAGATATAAACTTCAACGTTGACTTGCGTTGTGTTTGATTGGATCAATGCAGTGAGGAGGCGGCCAACGGAGGAGATAGTAGCTTGAGAGATTTGGATGTTATTCTCACTAGCGACAACGCCAGCAACGATACTGAAAACGTTGCCGATGGCGCTGGGAATATCCCCAGCACTGATGGCCGCCAACGCGTTGTTCACGGCCTTGATTAGAAGAGGGTCGTAGTTGCTCACGTCGGTACCAGTCAATAAGCCATACAGACGAACAATGGCGAGACCAGTGTCGCCTTTGATCAAAGCTTTGATTATGCCTTTGACTTCCTTCACCTGTCGGGAGCTGACAGGAGTATCGTCAATGACGACGTCAACTGCTGTTGAATCAGGGCCGCCGTCCACGGTTGACTGTCCACTCGCCGCCAAGACGATGTCGAAGAAGCCTAATTTAGTCCAGTTGTCGAACTCAACTTTCGTAACTTTCTGATCGTCATTCTTGTCCGCTTGTCGGTGGAACTTGTGGAAGCAACCGAGCCTATAAAATAACAAAAGAAATCGCTCATTATTCAAATTTTATTATAAATTATGAACAATTTCATAGCTCTATAATCATTTATTAATTAAGCAATCTACACTCATTCCTAGAGATGGATATTAATACAATGAAAATTGTTGAAATTTGAATTACTGACAATTTACTTGTCACTTGAAACAATTTGACAACTTACTTGACGACAATTACTTGAAATTAAAATCAATTTCAGATAATTGTACCAGCTACTATAAGCTCTGACCTGATCACCAGAGCATCGTTATCGAACTGAGTTCCGTCAGAGACAAGATTGTGCAGGCAACCCGCGAACTCGGCCTCCTCGAGAGCTCGGTTGCCGTTGATGTCACAGGTGTGGAAGTTGCTCTTCTTCGTCGAACTTAGAGGAACAAACTCCTTACCAACTCGCGTCTGAATTTTCTTCATGAAAGTTTCTTTCATCACCTGGCACGTCTCTGCAAAAAAAAAATTAAATGAGCACAAAATTTATCACACAGCCCAGTTCGCTATAAAAATTTTAGCATAAGTAAACCTTAATCAAATTCCTTTTGAAGCCTAATCATTGAAAGCCTCAATCACAATCGTGAACAGCAAGCAAATAAGAACTACAAACGAATATAATCAACTTGAGAAAATAGACAGCATGCGAATATGAGAGTTAAATTAAAAGTTTGTAATTTCCTTGTGCATTTTTCAGGCATTTCATTAGAAATATGATTGCATAATACTTAAATGTAGAGTTATCATTAATATTCATTTACTTTAAAGCCTAAGTTCTAGTTATATTCATTTAATCTTGAAATGTTAAACGTGCAATGGGGAAGATAGGTTTTATAGGAATGAAATTAGTGTTCAAGAAAGGGCTCAAGTTTGTCTCATATTTTTAGGAAATTTTTCTATGTGAAAGATGAGCTGATAAACAAACTTCACGCTTCAGGATTCTCTCAAACTCGCCAACTTCTGGTTTCATCCGTGTGAATAAAGTGCCTATATCTAAAAAACCGTAACATAGTAGTTCAATGAATAGACTAATTTTTTATTGTACACTACTCATTTTTATATATTTCAAAATGAGTAACCATCAATCTAACTTTCATGAGAATTCATATCAACTGAAATCGCCAGCCATCACGCCTAGGTTACCAAGCCTGGTAAAATCCTACTCACAATTTTGAGTCTGGCACTCAAAAATGTGAGTAAATTTTACAGAGTACAGGTCGAGGAGCTATCTATAGTATTTATCTGAATAAAATTTCACTTACCTTCTGAAGCAGACGGCATCTGTAAAAGAATGAACAAAAGTTTTGAAATGATCAATTTTTTATGACTTGGTACGGAAAATATTACAGCAATCAAATGAACCACATAAGATATCAATTTAATTATCTATGCTGACATTGAAAAGCCGAATATTGAGTGTAAAAGAGGCACGGGTATGTAAAAATCAACAGCAAGTATAGAATTAAGTTGTTTATTCAGTATCAACGATCAAGCAAATAGTTCTGTCCAAGTGTTAATGATATTAATCTGTATCGCGCCCTAACAATTCACTTGTTTGTTTCAATGAATTACATATACAGTACATATTAATTACATTAATATATACATATATTAATTCAAATACAGTAGTATCCTAAGATACAAATTAACATTCCATTAATAATAACTAATGAATGATACTAATAATTGAAATAATACGGCGTAATAGAAAATGATTGACTAACTGGGTATCAATATGCTCAAATGTTCATTCAAAATACAATTTCAATTTACTTCATTACCAGCGGCGTTGTGATACTCACGGCAGTGGCTGCAGCGAGCACACTCAGCACGAGTAACAACCCCTGTTGGTGGATAATAATTATTAATAAATAATTATATTAATAAGGAGTACACGAAAAGTGGCATACAGGTTATATATAAGTTTAAATTCAACGAAAAAAAGGAATTATCAGCATTCATCTCATCCTCTTCATCGAAACATTTCATTTTTTCTACAGTGCACTTACGTCCAAAGTTGAAAACTTTATACAACAGCTTTATACAAGTCAGTGACATATCATTATTTTAATTACAATAAGGAAAATTCTAAGACACTTTTCACAATTCAAATAATGACTGTAGAACTTGAATATAACCCACCTTCATTTTAACAGAGTTCTATGATCAGATTTTCTTGTCTATCGTCTTTGCCCAACGCTGCACACTCTTTGAGTTTCTCGGAGCCACATACCAGCTTTTATAACATTCTTCATTCATTGTAAAATGTATTGATGTGCTGCAGCTTTTGGTGCTTTCTTTGTGTTCGTTCAATAAATCGATTTAGTTATTAAACGTGTGACATCTGTGCAGCAGTTTTCCTGCCTATACGAACAAAGAACAATCTTTCGGTAAGTCATGCAGTAGTTAGAGTTTAGCAATGTTTGGAACATAAGCTAGTATTGGAGTATTTAAGTATATTAATTGCAAAACTACTCAAAAATAAGATCTCACTTTCTTATTTATATCACCAGTTGGCATAAATCCCTACAATTTACCAGAATATAAATGTCAATTGCGAGATTCCATGGTCATAAGTAAAGAAAAATTGTACGAGTTCCTACAGGAAGGGATCAGAAATTTGTAGCCTGCATACTATATTCATCTTCCACTTTATTGTGGCATTAATCTGCTAAATGAAAATCGAATTGTTCCATGCAATTTGGAATCTAATGGCATGTATATGTGGATCGAATAAATCTTGTGAAGTAGTATTAATAACACTTGATAATATTGAGGGCATGAATGTCGGATTAACCAGAAACTGCAATTTCGTCGGTCAATTTTTTTTAGTTCAAATATTGGGTATTAATGTTACGCAGTGCCTCATAATATTCAATTACTATCTTATATCTTAATCATAGTATAGTATGATAGTATAGTATAGTATAGATAGTATTAATATAGTATTACTATGTTAATACTATCGTTTACTACTTAAGTGATGTATATCACATAAAAAATCAATTTTCAAAATCAGTTTATTTTAAATAAAAAGAAATAATTTGTTCATTATATAAATCCTAGATGTAAAGGTTTTGCAACTTGTACGATTTTCATTTGTCGCTTGTGGCAGTACGTTATCAACCACAATGTTAAATCCTAATTCCAATCTCTTTTCAAGATTATTATTGAAGATTCAAATGGATTAATGGAATCCAAATCTAAGATTCATATGGATAGGGTTATTAACTACATTTTATATCCCATTTGTAATGTTAAAATTAAGTCATCTAGAAACTGGGGTTGGATCGCCAATCAAAAGTTTTATTCAGATTTAAATTTATTTGAATCAAACTTCCAAAATGAAATTTGATATATTGTGGTTAGTGGGTGTACATTTTTATTCAATTACAGTTTGAGTGGTCTTTCTTAAATAACCGTTACTTTGGAGATAACAAGGAAGATGATTTTGCTAAGCAATCATTACAGGCAGCACGGTAATCACCTATAAGTCTACAATCAATTTTGGATTGTTTGTTTGTTATGTGTGCGAAACTTGACACTTTCAATGAATCCATTATTCAAGCGAGCATACGCTCAACATTTTTGCATTTTCATCAAGATCTGAAATTGTAGTCCAGCTTCGGGATCATGAGACATTATAAGGCCTGGGTTTCACAAGCCCGATAACAAAAATTTTGCACATCGCAACATAGCCGTCAGCTATTAAGTTTTTATGCTGTGAAGACTTTTTATTCAACCTGTCTTTGATATTTTTGCATACTTTGATTAATTGTCAGCTATCATCAGTCTGACAATAATGGAATCGATTGTAATCGAACGTTATCGATTGCTGATGAGCTCGTCTTTGTATAATTCATGTGGAAAAATTCTTTATACGTCGAGAATAAGGAAAATTCTTGTGCAGAATTCGCAGCTGCCATCAAATATCGCAATATTTGAAGAGCATATGCATGGTATGCCAATTAAATGCGAACTACGTATTCATTTAATAACGTAAAACCAGGCCTAAATCCATTATTCCTATCATATAGAGTTATAGAACTAACACCTATTTGACTTGGAATTTCCGCATTCTATTCTCCGTACTTCTAAATAAAATCCTAGAAAGAAAAGCCAGGGTGCGGCGGTAACATCAGCGCCTTCGCTGAAGCTGGTAGACCAATATTATGTAGGAAGGATTCCAAATTTGATCGTTTGTGACCTCAGCGAGCGACGGACGAGCGTTTGCGTCATACAGGGTCCGCCATATTTATGGCAACGGATGTTTGATATATAGAAATAAATTGGTTTCTAGGAGACTTTTCTTTTATAATGAAGCTTGATATCATATATTAATTCATCTATTTCATATTGCAGAAGTCTAAGGTGTCTAAATTTACTATTAATTATGGCAGTAGATAGAAATGCAATTGTAACCCTTCATGAAAAGGGCGAGAGTAATTCAGTCATTGCAAAAAGCTCCAAATTCGTCGTGAAACTATGTGGAAGGTGGTAAAAAAATTAAAGGAAACTGGTGGAACATACAATCGACCTGGTCAAGGAAAGAAATGAAGTGTCCGAACAAAACAATTGGTCAAAAACATGAGGGAGAAGTTGTGGAGAAACCCTCGCCGCTCAGCTGCAAAATTGGCTGCAGAAGCAGGAGTTAGTCAGACATCAATGCGTAGAGTCCTCAAAGATGACCTCAAAACCTCCCCTTACAAGATGCAAACAAGGCATGAACTAACAGACCGTCATGAACGAATGAGGCTCAAAGATGCCAGCACATTCTGGATCACATTGAGGATGGCACGCTGCCCAAATGGGTGTTCAGTGACGAGAAAAATTTTACATTGAACAAAGCGGTTAACCGTCAAAATGTCAGAATTTGGAGTCGGGATGGATATGTGGCAACCAGAACAGCAACACGACGTCAAAATCCCATGTCCGTGTTGGTTTAGGCAGCGGTAACCGCCACTGGGAGGTCCCCACTCGTTTTTGTCTCTTCAAGAGTGAAATTTAACAGTCAGCGATACATTTCGGACATTTTGGAAGCTGTGTTGTTACCTTGGGCCCGTAAAGACTTCAACGGCTCACCATGGAGTTTTCAACAAGACTCTGTCCCATCACATGGCTCAAACATGACTCAAAACTGTATTCAGAGTCACATCCCAGCGTTCATTAGCAAAAATGAATGGCCCTCAAGAAGCCCTAATTTGAATCCACTCAACTTTTCTGTGTGGGCTAGTTTAGAGAGCAGGGTCTGCAGAACACCATTGATAATAAGTAATAAGTTCTCGTGAACTTTCTCACAAAAGATAACTCACACTGTGCAAAAAATTTCCTTGTGACTTAGCTACCATGAAATATATTGTAGGATTATTAATATTTGCTAAACCAAATTAGTCCTAGTTGCAAAAATCATGAAAGTAAAGTGGAACATAACATAGAATTACAAATTATTAATTAATTAGTTGTGATTCTAAATTGAATTAAACATTACAACGATTTTTCTATGTATGTTATGTAAAATGTTGTCATCAGCCATGAATTTTTTTCAAAAAAATATGCCCAACAGAGAGAATATTATTCAGATTGTGACAAAATTAGCCCCTATCCAAAAACTGAGATCATACGACGTCTTGATATCGCTGGTTTAATTCTACGTGGACCATTGTCTATAATCATATTCAAATTGTGGTCATTGTAAGGCATTTCATTGTTGCATTTTGCATTTCATTGTTGCATTTTGCATTTCATTGTTGCATTTCAGCATTGCATTGCATTGTTGCATTGTTGCATTTCAGCGGTGACACTGTAACGTCAGATTGACATTTTAATTAAATCAGTTAAAGATGTTAATAAAATTTCCTTCTCAGAGGAAAAATATCTTTTGGTCTTTTACATTTAGGAGCGCAAGCTAAATGTTCTGTTCAGAATTCGGTAAGTAATGATATAAAATTATTTGAAATTAATCAAATGTAAAACAATAAGAATGAATTCCATATTTTTTTCTGAATTTTAATCAACACATAAAGGCATCTGTAATAACCATTCATCCTAGACCTTCCATCAAGTTTTTTGTTTCAATCTTCAGACATCGGTTATTATTGTTAAGCTAACCTCGTAGTTCATTCAATAGTTAGAACTCGGATGTGCATTGGTGGCGAAATACTTCGATGAGTTCATTTTATATTATAACATATTGTTCGTTAACAATTTATATAATCCGAGCAGTGCCTTTACAGTACCTCAAATTGAACGCCTGAAACTATAATATGATTTATAGCAAAAATTTTGTTATTGCCATGCTACAATTAAAAGCTGTGAATTAGCACACGACAGAAACGATTATGAAAGACCACGTCTGGAATTTCGTTTAAGCCTATTGGCTCTAACGAATTTCTAAGTTGTTTTAAAAGTTTTCATCAGACGAGGGATGAAGAGTTTTTTGGCAAAGCTTTTTGATCAAAAATCTCTCAGGTATGCAGAAATAAATTTTCTGAAGCATACAGGGAGATACTGAATTGACTTTTTTTCAATAAATTCTCATATAGGTTGTGCTGAAAGTCGAATTAGCATAATTAAGACTTTGTATGGTAGTGAATTAGCACCTAATTCGTGCTTGATGTCCCTCAATATTATTGTGCATAAAACTAATTCTTACTTCCCGTCATCACCTTGCGCCATAACATATGAAGTGAACAATTATGCTTTTCGTCGAAGTGACATCAGCTTAGAGCTCAGCTCTACAATATGAGACTCCAAACCTGCAGCAGCGCAGTACTGAACGATGATGTCCGCGAATCAATGTTGATATAAACTTACCTGTTCATATGTAAATGCAGTGACACGCATTTATAATTTCTCATGGTGTTTGTGATTGCGTTACTTTGGCTCATCATCGCTTGAAATTATGAATCAATAGGTTTGTTATGGATTTATATTTTATTTTAAAACTAAAAATTAATCATCAGTGTTTTTTTAATTTCGACCACTCATGTATAAACAAACGTTGCATCTGTTTTCCTGAATCTCTGAACTGATGATAGAACTGAGCTCCGAATTGTTTTTTTACGAAGATCGTTTGGATTTTTTGTTGAATTTTCCTTGTTTTCAAATTTCTAGTGAATTTGCGGTTCAAGCAATCGAGTGAAATTAATACTTCTTTTAGTAAAGATTAATTAATGGCATCGTGGTGTAGGAACGGTATTCATACATGTTCATACCGCATCTCCATTGCTGGAGATCAGAACTCTATTGCCGGAGATCAGAACTCTATTGCTGGAGATCAGAAATCTATTGCTGGAGATCAGAACTCTATTGCCGGAGATCAGAACTCTATTGCCGAAGATTAGAACTCTATTGCCGGAGAATAGAACTTTATTGTCGGAGATCAGATCGAACTCTTTTGGGCCAGTTGTCTAGATTTTAAAATTATTTTGATGTGGGATGGAATGCTCGATCATTGATCGATCATTGATCGAACTAATAAAATTCTATGATGAATGACTTTTCTCATCATTATTTTTTATAATCTACACTAATTTGAGAGTTTTATGATCGAATTATATGAAGTGAATTTCGTATTGACCCACGGCATCGACCAGATGTTATATTTCTGTTAATGTTATTAATCAACGCGAGAACTCGAAGTTACAGTTTGAGACAACCTATCCAAACTCTAACGTGGTATCAGACTAAATTTATTAAATGACAACCAAATTCATTTGTATATTTTCGTGCGCAAGTTGAAGCAAACAATACATTTATAAATTTATATTTAAAAGTAACAAAAAAAAAAAAGATTCACCTAATTTCTAAAACTTCACAAAGGATCTAAATTCTTGAAAAAATTTAAATTTACCTATAATAGATATTCTAAATTTAAAATTTTTAAATTTATAGGAAAATCAAGGTGAATGTGTTCTAGCAAATTTATACGTTTTCTTTGACTCTTGCAGCTACAACAGTCTCCAGCTAGCCATATACAGTCATATACTGTGTAATATACTGTCATATACAGTCATATATTGTGTCATACTGTATACCATAACAGTCTCAAATACTGTGGTTGAAGCGTGTATAATGAAGCTATTATTATTTGAATATTCATTAATTTTCCAATTATTTTTTACCTGCGTTACTCAATTTCTAGATGTGAATCACAAACAGAATTGTTTGAATTCGGGACGATGTATATTAATTTTTCATTATAAGAGTATTATTGTATGTATTTCTACAGATCATATGATATTCATAACTGCGAATCACAGAAGATATTGGAACAGAAAGAAGCCTCCTAAGCCTCTACACTTGCATTTCGTGGCTACGGTGGAACTCCATTAAATAAATGCTGCTTTTGTGTCTCGTAGGCCCTTAGTATGAATGATTTGTTTCGACGCGAAATACAATATATTCTAACAAAAATTTAAATAATTTTTGGAGGCTGTATATGATCAAAAGCAATTTTAATTTCATTTTCCTGTACATTCAGATCCACGTCGTGTCAATTTCAATTGTTCGCTCCAAGGAGTTAATATATGTAGGGGTAAATAGTTAGCAAACGATCAAATCCGAGTTCAAAGACCCGAGCGGGAGTTAATATTCGCATGCGTAAATTCACAATTTTTCGAGTCGTTTTAATCCTTTTACTTTAAATGTTAAATCGATTTTATAGAATATCGTTAAACGTCGATTTAACGATCCTAGTGGACGGACACCTGTGTGCTCTGTGCGTCGCGCACAGTTTGACGAATATCTACAAATCTTTAATAATTAAGTCCAATACAGAATATTTGATAGAAAATCAAAGATTCCCTAAAAGGCAGCAAGGAACAGCGCGAAGAAATTGCAGAAGAATTCGTGATTTCTGCATGATTAAATGTGACGTGTTCCCTCAAACTTAAAATGTTTTCACATTTAATAGATATAATCATGGATTTTATATTGAACATTAATTAATAATGATTCATCTTCATATTCAATCGAATTTTTTATTTGAATAAAATTAATGTTACAATTCTCATTACTCAAGTGGTTGGCCAGTCCATTTTAGGAAAATAGTATAATAGGCATGTTTCATTGTTCATATTAACTGCTACTCAGAAAGTTCTTTAGTAATCTTTTGATGAGATCTTAAATAGTAAGATTTTGATGAGTTTAACGATAGCAGCGACTCAATAATTATTATAAAGTAACTGTTTTTACAAGCATTTTCCCGATATTCTTTTGTTTAAAAATCTTTTCACAGCTTTATTGATTATTTCTGTAAAAATTATCAAATACTATTGAGTCTCGAAAAAAAATTGACCTTTTCAACCGACGACGTGCAGTATTGATTCGCTTCGCTTCTAGCTGTTGGATGAAATTAGATGTTTGATGAAAATGATTGAGAGCATTCATTAGAGTCTGAAAATAAATATTAATATATTGAGACAATAAAAATTCAGTCTCAAAGATTCTGTAATTGTATAACTCGGGAGAAGAAAACCGCAGCGTCAACAAGGCAAGACCAGCATGCAGCTTCTCTTCGTTATCAGGTCTGGTGCACGTCTCATTCATCCCTTCAAGTGTCACTGTAATTCGAATTTTAAGAATTAAGCTGTATACATTGAACGATCTTGCAATTTAAGTTTACGTGGCAGCGTGCAAACTCCAAAAATATAACTGAGTACTCACTGCAGTGAGTGACAGAGAGTGCATTTTCTCGTCGACGAAAACGTGGTCACTGACGGACGGACGGACAGACATGACGAGCACAATAGCGCCTTTTTTCCATAAATGAGAAAATGCGCTAAAAAGAGAGAGAGATTGATACCAAAGTGAGGCCTGAGTGACTCAAAGCCATGTCAGAAAAATGTAAACAAAATGTTAGAATTCAAAACAAAAAAGGGAATTTATAGAAAATATTCTCGAGTACATGACGTTCGCGAATGATGATATATGAATTCAAAATTTTTACGCATTTTGCGCATATCGACCATTTGCAAGTGTTAGCTTTTTTGTTTGGAAACTTGAATCGATCATTCGACTTTTATTTGACTTTCAGAGCTGTTAGAACGAGACGATAAAAATCACATCAATACCTGCGATCATAAATTTCACTCAAAATATCTAAACATTCGAATATTTGCGAGTCTGGAAGTATAGCGATCCACGACGTTCTCAGCTGCAACAAAGAGTTCTGTTTGAACAATCGCGTAAGGTAAATGCAGAAAATTATCTAGAATCTTTATGTTATAGATTTATTGATTTTACAATCATTTTAAATCGTTATTTGTTTATTGATTCTCTCGAAAGTGTACGGCGGAAAAATATTTCTGCTAAATTACAGAACTCTCAAAGGGAAATCGTTATCGAATTTTCTTTGTACATTGCTGCTATCTAATGTACAGCTGTGCAAAACAACTGAGCAGCACCAAAACTTGCATTCAAAAGGAAATAATAACACGTTCTATTTGACTATGAAATAATGACAGCAATGTAACGAGCGCTGCGGCGTCAGTTGTTGTTAGACAGGCACAGTGTAAGCGCTGAGAAGCTCACAGAAAGTTTGAATAGCCGTCGCATTACAGAGAAACTTGTTGGCGATGAACTTCTTCATGAATGTAAGAAAAATTTTATTTTCCCTGTTCAATTTGTCAGATTTGGTTTTTCATTACTAAAATTAATGATGCTCTGATGATGAATATTTAGAGACAATCCTCAAGGATTGTCTCTAAATATTCATATTCATATTCATCATATACTTATGTACTCAGTGTAATCATATTCACATATTCAGTAGCGACTGGTAAATGCCATTACATATTTTTTAATATTAAATGAATTTAATTTAACTGGGGGTACGATAAGCACGCTAAACAAGATGGAAATCGAAAGAAATAAGTAATTATTGTATGTAATTACTAATGAGATAATATTTTTTATTGCAGTTGCTGATGCTGCTGATGGCAGTGCTCTCAGTGGTGAGTTTTAAAATCTTAATGAAGCGATTCTGTGATTCATTATGTTAGTGATTACTAGTTTTAGTGACTGCCATCATTGTGGCTTGGTATATAATATGATCATGTAGCATTGTGTTGCGAACATGAGAATTAAATTTAAAGCTGATTCCGCATTGTACTTTGGCTTAAAGTTCAGCTTCTTAAATACGTTTAACTTTTTTATAACATTAAACTTTTCAAATAGCAGCAAGCAGGGGGGAAAAAAATTACGGCTTGCGGTCATGTATATGCATCTACATTATTTTGTATCGATATTAATTACGTAATTAATTATCTATTAACACCGGCGTGGTTGCGTGATTGGTAAATAATTAATGAGATTGGTGAATCTCGTTCTCGATCGTTCAAATCAATTATACGGCGAGTGTATTACCTCAAATTTAGGTAATGCGAATTGAAGCTTGGGTCATTCGAACTTTTATTTAAAAACCTCTTTTAAACTTCCGTGTTAAAATTCGAATTTACCAAATTCTAATTGAAAAAATTAATTGCAGTGTTTTAAATTAAGTAATTAAAGTTTCATTTTAATCGCGTCTCTTTTTGCGCTACCTCACACTTCCACCCTTTAAATCGAAAATGCATGCTTTTTTTGCTTTAATTAACATTACTTTTGCAAGAGAATTAATATGATAGATGGAAAGGCGATTTGATACAGTGATTACACATATAGTTGTGATGAACAATCCTGATCAACGCATTTCAATAATACCGAAAGTGTCACTGGGATTTTTTTAAACTAACTCAATTACTCATAATTTTTATTCAACGTAAAAAATTTGCTATCTCTGTATGCGAAGCATTAGAATAAAAACAAATCTGAGAATGAGTTAAAATATTCACTGACGCTCTTTTTTTCTCTCATTGCAGTCGGCGCGGGCATCACCAGGTTCGTTGGCCGTTGGGACTGACTGACTTTTCTTAAAAAACTGCGATGTATTAGAAAAAATATAACTCAGTACTCACTGCAGTGAGTGACAGAGAGCGCATTTTCTCGTCGACGAAAACGTGAAGTCACGGACGGACGGACGGACAGANGGACGGACGGACGGACGGACGGACGGACGGACGGATGGACGGACGGACGGACGGACGGACAGACGGACGGACGGGCGGACGGACGGACGGACGGACGGACAGACGGACATACGGACGGACGGACGGACGGACATGGCGAGCACAATAGCGCATTTTTTCCATAAATGAGAAAATGCGCTAAAAACTGCGATGCATATCCGGGTTCAGAGCTCATATGAAATATATTTATATTTTATCTTCAGTGTAAAAATTATAATAAATGCTGCGCAGGTTGTATCGATGAAAGTAAACTCTTTGTTTTGTGTACAGCAGTGAGCATGACCGATGTGATGCGATGTCGTTGACGATTTGACAGTGCAAGCTGCAATTTAAATGATTATTCGAGACGTAATATTAGGAAGTACAGCGTTAGTAGATCATAAATAAGCTTTATCTGGACACAGTGCAATATATTTTCAGTTTTTTATTCTCTTAGTATCTGCGTAAATGAAGCTTCATGGTCAGAATAAAGATGTATAAATCCTACATGAATGTTGGCGAATGTAAATAGTAAAGAGGCTGGTGGATGTTTCGTAATGAAAATTATCATAAACGAAAACCATTGATAAAAGGTAAATTAAAATTCACAACATTTTTCTTGTTTCGTGTGAACTTTAGAAACTTTATGAAAATATCTTGTATTACGGTACATATCTTCACAGATGAAATTGATTTACTATCTTTTGCTACATAGGTTCATCAGCACATCGATACTTCTACTATTCAAGCGAAAGACTGTCGCACTCGATGTCGTTTTCAGAAAAAAAAACAAAAAAAAAACTCAACTACCTTCAGATTGCTCCTATAATAACTGTGAAATTAAACTATCCATCGATAGTTTAAAAATAGTTAAAATACACTTTAGAATTAATTGCATTGAGATGCATCCGAACACTATTTTAATTTGAATGAAATTGTTCTTAAACAAATATTAAAATATTTCAGAATCATGTCCCTTGCTGAAACGACGTCTGATGCAGACGTTTCAAGTTCAGGCGTCTGAAGCAACGATCTCCGGCAGGCAAGCAGAAGTCTCGCCCTGCAATGTGATCGAATTCTATAGCTTCGATCAAACGGAATTTGAGGACTGCTTATCTCAAGTTATTGGAGACCTGGCTACAGAAGGGGAAGGAACTCTTTTAGAAAGGTAAATTAGAGAGCTGAGGCATTCAGAACTATCAGGGGTCACTGCTATAGCAGTTGACTGTTACAAGTGCTTGGATGATGGATCATTATTATGTTGTGTGAAAATTTTGTGCCATTCTCTTGTATATCTATCGAAAATTAATTTTTTCTCCCACATGACTGTTGATATTTTAAGCTATTTGGTTTTCATTGAGTAATTATGAAATCTTATAAGCAATTACTGCATATTTCGAGTTAATAGTTTTCACCTGCGTCACTTGAAAAATTGTCCAAACTTCAACATCGAATGAGAAACTAAGATATTGAATATGTAGATATATAGATATATACAAATATTAATATATATATTTATATTTTTGAAATTGTTTTATATTATTCCTTAGACAGTTAGTGGTAATGACCTGAATATAATTATTAACTGACTAATTATATCTAGACGTGAATGCTTCCGTCTGTTCTGGCACGAGGTGGACGCCAACGGAGACCAAAAGGTTGACAAGGATGAGTTCATTCGCTGGAAGAAACTATAGGAGGTCTCGACTTGATGCTCGAATCAACAGAAGAACAATCACAAAACACAACTGCCTCAGACGAAGACGGAATTGTTGTCCTTGTGGGTGACTTGGAATATCAACTGAGCTCGAGACAGGGTGAATTTCTTTCGGCCAATACCCAAGCCCTACAAAAGGGCAACCCCCTAGAAGCGTTCGTCCAGCTTTTCCGGCTGATGACACAGTCCAACGGTAATGATTTCAATACGAATATTTTAATTCCTCTGTCCGAAGTTATGCAGACCTTTTTTGAACAAACTGTAGCGAGTACAGCAGCTCAAGCAATCTCAGTGGTCACCGGGCTTGATTTGGGTGGACAAGAAGCTGCAGTCGCTGCAAGTCAAGACACAATAGCCGCTATCAACGGTCTTATCAGAGCCGTTGTGGGACAGAATCTTCCTGATGCTGGCAATGCTGCGAACCAAATTTTCAATACGGTTGTCAATCTAGTGACTGATCTGACACCGATTGCGAGTGAGACAGTCACTGATGTCACTAATCTTATTAGAAGTCTCTTCGAGCGTGATGTCAGCAACAACAATTCGGAGGGCCCGGTCCGAGAAGTCATTACATCTTTATCGCGAGTCTTGACTGACATCAACGGAGTCGGTAATGAAACACGCGATGCGATCGTCGACCTTGCTCAAGCAATCAGTTTTGGAACAAATGAAGATATTCTGGATCACGTATCCCTTGCTCTCAGGAGCGTGCTAGGACAAGGATCAGCCATTGGTCAACAAGCTGCTGAAACTCTAACCTCAATCATGCGAGCGCTGGCTAGCGAAAACAGGCTTGAAGCCTTCATTCAGACCTCCAATCTGTACAGGCTCATGACGAATGGTGCTGGTATCTGCCAGAACGGACACTTCTTATCTGCTGTTGCCCTGCGCAAAGTCTGAAGCATCATACCAATTTTCGTGATATAACGAAAAGGATTGAGAATGGTTGTATTCTAGAGAAATGTATGTGTTCCGCTGCTTTTATCAAGGATCATTTTTATAATAATTATTTAATCTGAGAAAATTTGTAAGAAAAATTCACTTTAGACTTTTCAAGACGCCTGTCATTCTTCATCTTCGTAGCTTACGAAACTCAAGCAGAAAACCAATGGCAAAAGACGGAATTCTACCAGTGATGCCTGATTCTATGATACAATTATTGTAGCTGCATAATTATTATTTGCATAGATAAACCAGGCCAATAGAGAAAAATTTGTGTTTATGTAAAGGCAAAAACTAAATTTTGTTTTATTTATTAGGGCACGTCCATCAAAATCATGTGATTTTCCAAGTTTCATCGCGTTTAATAAGCAAGTTAATAAAAGTCTGTTCCATGGAATACATGATTTAGGGCACTAATTAAGATTTTGGATTACAACTTTTTATTCGTTAGCTTCGTTTCAATAGTTGAATAGATCAACAGAAGACAACATTGACTGATACCAATGGTGGAAAATTAATGTGTCTGCAATGCCTCTCACAGTCGCAGAACTGAGCTACGAGTTTAGCTGCTGAAGAATATATTATTTATTGAGTGAATTCAATACATGCAGTCGGGTTATTAAGAAGCATCTAGAACGAGCAAAAATTGACACGTTGGTATATTTTAATAGATAGCATTTAGGTGAACACCATCACAGTAATATGGCACTTCTGATAATTGGCATTCAATTGCATGCTTGCCAAAAAACGTAAGTCAATTCTGATAATATATAAGTTTAGAGAATCCGAGTTCCTCAGGAGTTTTGTCTATTGTTGTGTTGTAATGACTCAGATAACGTCTTTTGGAAATCAGCGGAAAATCACCGCTTTTAGGAAAGTGAATGGAATCATTAGGAATGGAACTCAAATTAAAATAAGTGACACGTTTTTAAATCAGTGAGTTGATTATAGAAAACCATTCATGTGTAAAATATTAGGAAACTGAAGACCAGCTGCAATAAAGAAAAAACATAAATGTGTCGAACGCGGTGAAGTGAGTTAGAGAAAATGTTTAATATTGTTCTATTTAGAGTAAAACTTTAAATTATGCAGGGCCAATTTTTAAATTGCATAGAACTCTATACCCGGCGTAGTAAGTAAAGCGATTGCCTCAGATGATCGTTTTAATATAATATTTTGATAATCATCAATTAAATTCGAGTACTAATTGCAATGCTTTATTAATTAACGGAAAGAATTCCAGTTATGATTAATGGATGTTAATATTTAATACAAACACCCACTCATCTAATTTTACGTAGAGATAAAAACATGGAAGGCGAAGGTAAAATTTATTTGGTAGACCCATAACAAAGAAATTGAAATTTACTGAGTAAAATAATACAAAATGACTTACAATAGGAAAACCGTGTCAAGAGAACAATCAATACTGAAATGAATCGTAATACTTTCTTCATTAATTAATAGTAGTTTTATCTTTATTTTTTACAGCAATAATTTTTTATAAATTATTCAGCAGCAATTTCGCCTCGTCAGAAAAATTGCTCCTATAAATATAATTAAATAATAATAATAATTGTTGCCGAGACATTTTTGAACTAGGCTCCTGTCGGAACCCGGAAAGTTTGTTAGAGAAAGTTGCTCGCGCCAGCGTTACATCAAAAAAATATAACTCATTACTCACGGCAGTGAGTGACAGAGAGCGCATTTTCTCGTCGACGAAAACTTGAGGTCACGGACAGACGGACAGACAGACAGACGGACGTGGCGAGCACAATAGTGCAATTTTACCATAAATGAGAAAAGCGCTAAAAACAAATCCGCAGAAGTTCGATTGAACCTATTTCTATACCATAGCAGCATCACCGAGACGAGCGTCACTGAACATAATCTATACTATTAAAAGCGACCTTGCATAGATGCGCACAGCTTAGCAGAAACTGATACCACCGACAAGGTGTCACTGTAAAAGCAATAAATAAATAGTCAATTGCATTTTATGCTTAAGCTTTCATTTGCTTACCTATTGGGCTAACCAGCGTTGTTCTCAGTGTGACTCTAATTCGATCATTTTTTGGAGTTCTCTCCTGAGCCTTTGATCACGTTTCAATTTAGCGTCAGGTAGGGATGAACTGCGCCTCAAATGTGAAGCCTTCTTGGAGTATTCATCTGAGGATTAGCATCAATTCAGTTCTAGATTGTGAGACAACAAAATTTTATAATTTCCGGATTGATTTGTTAAATATTGCACTGTTAGAAAAATTAAGGTTAACGGTATTACTTGCGTTTCAATGGCCGGTCGGCACGTGAAAAGAAACACCGTGTCGCCATTTTTATTCTAATTTAACACTAGAATTCCGTACAACATCTGATAAAAACGGCGAAACAGTTTATTTTCACGGGGGCGACCGGCCACTAGAACGCCAGTGGGACCGTTTTTTCACCGTTTTTTCTAACAGTGATATAACATTCAACTATTTGGATGGATAGCCTATGAAAATTAAAGTGCAGTAATTTTCAAAGTTAAAAAGTGGCTCGGCGAGAAATACGCCTGCAGTTCCCGCTTGGAGAAAGCGTCGGCCCGGGAATAATTGGCTTAAAATTCTAATTAAACATGGACTTTTCATTCTGTATTACAATGAGCTTGCCAAATAAAAATTACATTTGAATTGTTTATGTCGCTTGACATTCTTCTGTTCTGTAAAGGTTCATAATTTAACAACTAAAATTATATTTTCTTGAGAATTTGGCATTATGACTTTTCTTACGTTTAATAAAGCATTCTTTCAGAATGGTTTTAATACGAAAAATATTCCTCACGAATTGCAGGTCATTTTATTTGACTCAGCGTAACCAAGTGTAGTGAAGTGAATAATAAGCTACCGTTGTTATAAGGAACTCATTTCTATATAACCTTAACTCATTTAACGTAATATA